AAAATATAATTTTTTTTCTTAAGAAACGTTTGATAACTATCCAAACATTAAAAACATTTCGCATGTGAAATTTCAAAATTTCTGATGCATAAAAGTATTTTTAATCTTAAAATGAAAATTACTTTGCATGATATATAGGCAACATGTGAAAAGAAAAAAAAAAACATGAGAAAAACATTGGTTTATAAACCTTAAGACTAAATAAAAAAAATTGATATTTTGCATATGTGAGCATTGTAATGTTTACTGATAATCTGCCAAATTTTGTTAACATTTGCTTCCTAGTTTAAAAGTTATAGCATGAAAACTATAATAAGCACAAAATGGTTACAAGGTTGAGCTCATGCTGAAAGAGTTAATATAAACTGAAGATGATAAAACATTACTTCTTTCATACCATTATCTACAGAATGTCAGTCTCAAGTAAATTAAGTCATCTTACTTTGAATGCAGCTGAAGTAGAAGCTGCACATTGTACTTCTAATTAGCACATGCAAAGCACACATACACATATTAGTAACACCATATCTATCATCAATCTGATCCTGTGACATTTCATGCTTTTGTAAGAATAGTCAAAATAATGATACATCTGATAAAATAACACAAACTATAATACAAGTCTAATACGCTAACTACAGTTTTATAAATATCATAATATTTGATGCTTATTGTTTCAATTTGAAAATGTTGATTTTTTTGGTTTCATTACTGACCTGGATTATAATTATTATATTAATTCAAATGAAACAAAAATAAGCCATATGGTATACTGATCTGTTTTAAATCTATGCCATTCAGTTTCACTTTGGTTATTTTATATAAATGATTTTCTCCTTTATTCATTATTATTTTTACTGTTGATGTGTGATATTTCATTAGTCTCTAGATGCCTGAAACTGAAAATCTAATAATGAAACTTTGCAACTTAATTATATATGCCCGAAACAAGATGAGGATCAGTTTTCATCAACTCCACAAGCTGATAAACCATGGAATGCTACTTTCACTAATGTGAGCAGCCAAACAATTAAATACATTTTAGTTCTCCAGAACATTGGATTTTCAAAGCCTAAAGAAGTAAAATTACAAATTTCCACAACTTTCAGGTTTTATCTGATAATACCAGTTAAATCTCAGTTTCAAAAAATTCTCCATTCCTCTCAACTACATGAATTATATCATTTAATCTCAACTTTCAGAAAAGGTCCCTTTCCTTCCTATAACATGAATTATACTAGTTCTTCTCGGCTTTCAGAGATAATTCGTCTCCTTGAAATAACAAAATAATAGTATTTAATCCCAGTTTTCTGATGGAGTCCACTTCCTTTACAACAACCATTGCACATAAAATATAATCCTATTAATGGTTGAATCTAATTAACAAATGTCACAAAGTTAGATAACACCAGTAGTAAAGAAGTGTAATCTTTCATACAAAGAAGACTATTTTACTTTCAAGAGTATTTACTTTATGTTCAGATTTTATTTAAGTGTACTTCATATAAACAAAACTATTGTACACATGTTTATCATCATAATAGTATTATTACTGAGAGTTTTCAGTTTTTTTGGTGTAATAAATTATAAGTTGCAGAAAGTTCATTTTTGTGTCTCATGGAGCCTACAGATGAACAATTTATATCAACAATACAGGGGAACTAGAATTAACGTGGATCATTTGTTGTTGTTTTTTTTATGAAAAAGGAAAACAGACCAGGCAGGACTCAAACCTGTGACTCAATATCAGACAGATGATTTACCAATCACCCTTAAAATTTCTGTAGTGCAACTAACCTGGTTTTGGCTTGATTTTCAAGAAACCTCATAAGCTTTGGCCACACATCCTGCAGGGTTCGTTGTCGAATGAAGTCCCCACATACACTAGCCATGGCTGATAAAGTTTCAAAAGCCTGGTATTTATTAAATGAGTTATATGAGTTATACCAACATCACTAACTGTTCAACATGTGAAGTTCAAACAAAGTAAAAATAATTTAAAGACTAAAGATCAGCACATAATGCTTAAAATTCAGCAAAGATTGACGTAAAGAATTTTGAAGCAGGTTAAGATAAACATGTTAATCCTTCAATAAATTTGGGTATTTCAAGACAGTACTAAATAACTGATTGAGAACTTAATCTGATAATTAAATGTATAAGAAAAGTAAGTCATAATTCAGAATGTTATTCTGCATGTAGTATATACAGTTCTTACTTTTGGTATTACAGAAAGCTTTTAAAGTTTTAAAATAAAGAACGCAGAATCCTGTATGGTAACTGTTACCATAATTCTTTATTGTACCATAAGGTAAATATATTAATCCAGAAAGTTAAATTTGTATTTTCCTTTCTGTACAAAACAACTTTTAGTAACTTTAAATAACAGACAGTAAAAACAAAAGCTCGTAAGAGATAACTCTGAAATGTGAAAACTTACTTTTATCATCACAGTTACTTCATTAGAAAATTGCTGAACAAAAGGTTTCCACAACTGGTGAACCATCGGCAATAAATCATCTAAATCAATGAGGGTAAGATTACGTACTTTAATCTCAATAACATCACGTTCTGTTACAGAACAATTAGTGTAAAAATCACACAATAAAAAGCATGTTGTACCAGTGTTTAATACTCACCCTGGTGATGCTTCAAGACAATGACCCCAACAGAAATCGTGTCCAACACGAGGAGGCGAACCCAAATATTGTTTGATGATTGGAGATGAACACACCGTTCTAAGATCTAATGCAAAAGTTTCAAAAGAAACCAAAACATCATGCTTACTTTTAAAACGTGTCCTTCACGAAGACTATATTTTCCTAAAGTTTAAAAACAATATTTAGAAACTGAGAGTTCAATGTAAACTATTACTTATCAATTTGTAGCTGGATAATGCTTTTATTTCTCATTCCAGTTTAGGATTTCTTAATGTTACATAAAAATCTCTAATGCTTACATCTAAAACCATCCTAACATGAAGAGGCTTTTCTGGTTTGTTTTCATCATCATCATTGAAATATCCATCTTTCTCAGTATTCCTAACAACTGGATTTTTAATATTTTCATCAGTTACCAAAGACTCTTCTTTTTCATCATCTTCATCACTGAAAGTTTCTGCAAGCCGCTTGTTATGAAGATAATCAAGTAGAAATTTCTTTAATCTCTGGGAAGGTGGCAGCACTTGGCTTCGACTAGAAATATCCTATGTTAAGTACCATAGTGTATAAATTTGGTTGAAACGCTTAGGTAACAGAAAATTTAAAAAATCACTATTTAATATTCAGAAAAATTAATTAAATAACTTACATGGTTTATTAAAATCTTGATTTCATGTAAACATTCACTACAAATTGGGCAATGACCAATATTTGCACAAGCTTGTGAGATACCAGAAAAAGGAAATTATAGAGAAAACAAAGGATGTCTTGTACATAAATACAAACAACTTTGACAATAATCACACCCTTACAACAACATTTATTCACAGACTCCTATACACATTTTTGAACTGAAATATTCAATTTATTTCTAACAAAGCTCTAGCTGTAGGATATCAAACAAGCAGTTAATTTCTGATTAAGAAATTAGCACACAGGATCACATACAAAAGTTGCAATGGTTTTCTAACGAGACCCTAAACTTCAGCGCTTTCAAATAGTTCACTATTTTTCTTTATTCTAATGAAGAAGAATAGTGAACGAAACAAACAGGTAAAACACAGTTTATTACAAGTTAAGCATGTTACTATTAATCTTTCTTTGCAATATATCATGACAACCCAATGATTTTACAATATTTAACTGCTCTAAACTTCCTCTGGTGAAGAAAGAGTTTTTCATGTTATTCCTCAATTGTAAAACTGGTTAAGAAAAATTTTTCTAACATACAATAACACACTCCTAAAGAATTATTAGACTAATTTATTGTCATGTTATTAATAAGGAACTGTAAATAATTAGAAATCAAACTCCACTGATATGCAATCTAGGGTACAAATTCACAGTTAAACATACCAATTAAAATACTTGAAAACCAGTTTGTCTTTCATAGAAGATGATACAGTTTTTTTACACATAAAATCCTCCATTTATGATAAAACAATCAGATGCATCTTTACTTTACTTAAGAAAATTAATAAGATAAACTCGATATTACTTTGTATTGGTTAGTTTTGAACGTTAATAAGAATAGTGTATTCAACACTGTGAGCTCCTATCTTTATTATTACATGCTTTAATGTTAGGTTAATAAGAATAGTGTATTCAACCCTGTGAGCTCCTATCGTTATTATTACATGCTTTATTGTTTGTTAATAAGAATAGTGTATTCAACACTGTGAGCTCCTATCTTGATTATTACATGCTTTAGTGTTTGAATGATTTTCTTACACTGACAGGTACTCTGTGCTGTAGACTACTTCCATAATGTGCAAGCACTTCCTCTAGTTCGAGTTATGTTTGAAGTTATGAGTGCTATACAGAGATGGTTTCCACCTCAGTCGGAGGTGAGTTTTTATGACCTGTTCAGAGAGAAACCATCCATTGTGTCAGTTCAATAGCTTTTATTCAGCCAAAGTTTTTTTATTAAAACCTACAAACATTAAAGCATGTAATAATCAAGATAGGAGCTCACAGTGTTGAATACACTATTCTTATTAACCTAACATTAAAGCACGTAATAATAAAGATAGGAGCTCACAGTGTTGAATACACTATTCTTATTAACCTAACATTAAAGCATGTAATAGTAAAGACAGGAGCTCACAGTGTTGAATACACTATTCTTATTAACCTAACATTAAAGCATGTAATAATCAAGATAAGACCTCACAGTGTTGAATACACTATTCTTATTAACAAACATTAAAGCATGTAATAATAAGATGGAAGTACATTGTGCAGAAGAAACCATTCTAATTAACAAACATAAAAAAAGTAATAATCAAGATGTGAACATACTGTGTAAACTACAAGTATTTCAATATTCTTTAAGTTTTAATAATTCACTTCATCACAACAGTGTGTCCTAATCTACTAACAAACTTCTGCTAAAACTCACACCAGCGTTTTTCTTATTACAGCTTAGTAACTCACCTCTAACACTGTGTCCTGGACTAGAAGCAAGATACTACTGTCACACTGCTGCAGAACAACCTTCAGTACTACAGGTATCCCAGGATTCTCTGTGAAGTGTCGAAGCTTCAAGGATAATATATTGACCAAATAATCTGCATTTTGTGAAATGATATCAGCAACAGAACTGATGAAAAAATTAAAAATGAGATTTAGTTTCCTACCACTTGTATCAAATGAATTTGCTGTTAGTTTCTTTTAAAATAAAAAATACACGTATTGAAATAAAGAGAAAAAGCCTTGCGGAACAAGACTTCAAAAACTGGTTGGAGCCTTTACTTCCCGAGTGAAAACAAACATAAATAACGTGCGAGACGGCTTTAGTAGTTCTTTACTGCTTACAATAAAAAAAATTGAATGAACAACCTGAGGACACAAATATCTGGACAACAGATAAAGTTCAAAAAAGTTCTGGTACCTCTAAAAACTCAAATGTTCATAAAAACTAACATTTTGAATTAACTTTTCTTAAAATATTCAATATTAGTTAATTTTCATATACTTTCTGGAAGATGTTTTACATCCAGGAACAACAAGCCTTTTAGGATATCTGGAATGCCATAAAATGTACCAAAATGTTACTAAAACAAAAATATACTTGCTTGTACTGACAGTGGAGAGACATGAACTTCAATGCCACATGAGCAGTGTGTGACACAAGTCCACAATTACTGCCTGCTTTCTCTATGACAGGACACAAGACAGTTATGAGAAAAGGTCGAAAATTCTGTCCTAACACCTGCAATATATAAAAAAGTAATTTTACTAGACATATGAATATTTATTAAGACATGTGTAAAAATACTCTTTAAATAGCACTTTTTAAAACTCTGTACAGTTCTCACTACCAAAAGAAAAACCCCATAGAAATCTAAAGATGTTCAGTGTATTATCCTTTTACGTGATTAAACTGAATGTCAGCAACAACTCTTAGGTGAAAGTATACAAGATTTATGAACAAAATGTGCAGAATCTACAATTCCTTCTTTGAGATTTCTTTCTTTCATAAAAGAACCAAAATTAAGTCCTGCATTGTTTGACTTTTTAGTCTATTCATCCAAATAAATAATACATAGTATCATATGTAAGTTACCTGATAATACTAGATCAACAATACTCGGCTGATGTTTAGTTAAACTTGAAAAAGAAAAAGTAAACCAGTTTGAATTGCATCTTTGTTTTTATTATTTAGTATCAAACATACTGTTGGTTTGAATGTACTTTGTAGTCACTATGAGAAAAATCTATACACACACTCTTTGGTTAACTTGTGTTCAGGGTTACTGATGAGGAGTGGAATTCTCCAAAACTAGCATAACCCAATAACACACGTTGATCACAGTGTAGACTGAACTGGATCTCCCTTGAACTTACACTTCAAGATTAAACAATTTTCAGAATACTATGTTTATTGATTATATCATTTAGTAAATAAAAAGTTAGCTCACTATGTATGAAAAAAAAAACTGATCCAATCACAGTTTAATGAAGCACGAGAAGGAATGCTAATAATCATATATAACTAATCAAGCTAGTCAAATGTGAACAATGTAAATAACTTAACAGAGTGAACCTATTACAGTTCTTGGAAAAACTTGCATAAAAAATTGTACCTCAAAGTTTAATTGATTTAGTTGTTAGTAATTTTGTTTGTTTTGAATTTTCCACAAAGGTACATCAGGGCTACCTGCACAAGTCACCCCTTATTTTGAAGTGGTAAACACCATCCACTGCAAATTCTTAGGCTACTCTTTTACTAAAAAATATTTGGATTGACTGCTAAATTATAACACCCCCAGAGCTAAAAGGATGAGTGTGTTTGGTGACAGGGTTTGTTCCTATAACTGACCAGAAGTTTGCAAGATTGTGAATCAAGTACCGTAACTACCATTCAGATCAATAATTTTGTAAAAGTAAACTTTAAACAAGCACAATCCACTTGAAGAAAATAATTAGGTTCTTTTGGTTAATAAATGTTAAATATCAATTAATTTAGAATATTTTCTGGAGTACCTTCATAATACTAAAAAAATGCCTCAAATGGTTGGGAAAGTACATGGGATGCCTTGTTATTAGTTGTCAAGGTACATTCTTAGGGGTAGTAGGCTAATGTCTAAACAGATAACTGACATTTGCTGCCTTTATGAGATGAAGTTACATTCAAAATGTGTCATACTATGAACTTATTAGCTTGGAATCCTCTTGAATGGGTGTTGGTTTTAATGGGACTACACTTCTTCAGGACATCAGGATTACATGGTGGTCAAAGTGGACAGTTAGGACTAATATAGGCAAATTGGACTATAAGATAATATTGTAGAATTTTCATAAAGCAGCTGCAAAACAATAACTAAAATATATGATATGTTATAATGAACTGTCATTTATATGTTACCATAACTACCTCTCTGGTTCAGCATTTGCATCTTCCTTATAATATCAATGAACTGATTGATTAGAAACACATACTAGTCCTTCTGTTTTTAATGATATAGGTTATTTCTGTATAGTTTATACCACTAAAACAGGCTCTTCAATAAAGATATTCAAACTTACAGCTTGGAAAAGTGTTGGCTATTTTTTGATATTAAATAAAGCTTTAATATGCCCTTATAGGAAAAAAAAAAGTGTCACTATGGTATTCAGTGTACACTCATGTCCAGCAAAAAGTTATTTATATATAAATAACTGTGATACTCAGTAAATTCAGGAAAGAACACTAGTGAAAAAGAAACAAACACAAGTGAATGAATAAAAACAACTTCTTTATTCTTACACAAGCACACAAAGTATTGTTGGGGCTGTATCTTGTACTAACATGCTTCTATATTGGCTGGAGACGGCTTGAATGGGTAATGAAGAAAAACTTTAATATAACAGCAAATATACAACGTTTCGACAAGGTTTTGTCATCATCAGGTTGAAACGTTGTAC